AACAAAACTAATTTACTCAGTCTTTCAATCTAAGAAATTGATCCATTAACAGGAGCAACAGGAAAAAAAGTAATTAAGAAAACTAATATTTCTCCACCTCAGCAATGCCAGTCACTTAATTAGATGGATCCCATCAGACTATTAGACAAACAAAATTTTAATAGAAGTTTTATTAAACATTCACTAGTAATCTTAATTGTGCCACAATGCTGCAAACAGTGGCACTTTTTTCTAGGAGAGGGAAGGACAATGCTCTAGCCACTAGTGAAAGAGGACGGTTAGGTTTTATTTCACACTCAGTAATTTACTATGTGACCTGGGATGGCTCACTTAACCTAGAAGGAAGGATGTGTCAGTGGTTAGGCCACTACACTAGCACTCAGGAGATTTGAGTTGAATTCCTTGCCCTGCCCCAGCCATTTTATGTGACCTTCTCTAAGTCATTTAGACATTGCGGCACCTAGAAAAATCACAGGAACAATATTGCAATCCACAACACCTGAGTTAGGTGCCCAAGGGTACTTCTACATTGCACTTAAACATCCGCGGCAGGCCCATGCCAGCTGACCTGGGCTCAGGCTAAGCGGCTATTTAATTGCAGTGTAGATGTTTAGGCTCGGGCTGGAGCCCAGGTTCTAGGACCCCCTAGCCCAAGCAAGTTACAGCCACAGGTGTTTAATTGCAGTGTAGAGATACACTAAATTCCCTACACAATGCATGGGAAGAGATCGGTGTGTCTTAAGCCCCACACTTCTCACAGAGATAGGCACCTAAGTCCGGGCTTCAGGGTGGCACCTATCTCTGCTAGCAATCCACACAACTGGGGGGACATAGCTGCTCTGAATAAGTCATGTGCGGGGCTTGATCTGATTGGTGTGGTTAGAGTCCACTTAGATTTACATAAAACAACTGGGGGAGGGGAGGCCCTCCCTTTAATCATTAGCCCTGTGGTTAGGGAACTCAGTTAGGAAAGAGAACAACTTCAACAGCAGAGATTGAGGGAGCACTACCTCAGAATATCACATAGCCCAGCAGTTTAGGCACTCACCTGAGAGGGGACGAACCCCGTTCAAATCCCATCTCCTCATCAGACAGAGTAGGGGATTGCACTGGTGGTCTCCCACTTCTCCGGTGAGTACTCAACCACTGAACTAACAGTTATAAGGAAAATTCTCTTTCTCCCTCACCTACAAAGGTGCTCTATGTAGATCTAGGCAGCCCCTGAGTTCACCGACTAGATCAGGCCCTGCACATGACTTAGGTGGGGGAACGCCTGTCTTCCCCCAGTTCGTGGATTGCACTGGGGCTTAGGCATCCTAGGACCTAGAGTGAGGCAGCAGTGTACATGCCCAGGGAGGCAGAAACATAGGCACGTAGGAAACTTTTACTTCAAACATTCAGGCACTGAGTGAGTTTAGCAGCTTAGGCAGCAGCCGAGCAGTTTTGTGGATCACAGTGCTGTCTAAAAACGGGACTCAGGTGCTTGAGTCTCAGAGTTAGGCACTTAAGTACCTTTGTGAAGCCAGTCCTTTGAGGAGCTCTGTGCCTGAGCTCCTCATCTTTAAAATGGGGATAACACTTCCCTCACTCACAGGGGTGTTCTGAGGATACATATATTGAAGATTGTAGTATCTGAACACCGCACAGTGATGCAGAGCATATGAAGCAGATTAACCACTCTGTCCCTCAGTTTTCCCACCTGTAAAATGGAGGTGCTTACTCATTTCATATGAGTGAGGTGAGACTTAATGATTTGCAAAGTGCTTTGAAATCATAGAAGGTCAAAGTATTTCTCCCTTTGAATGCTATCTGAATAAACCACTAGGTGTTATTGTGCAAACCCATCCTGAGCAAACAGCTAATCAAAGGGAGCCAGTGAAGGACACCAGCATACTGAGATTTGGGGTAACTTCCAAAGGAGACAGAGTTGGGGGCAAGAAGGACCTGGTGATATTCAACATTTTCTCTTTTACATTTAAAAAAAACAACCTTCAAGTTTGGATAGATGGATGGATTGGCTCTGTCAAAATGGAGATTTGGCTGAGACCACCTCCTCACGTCTGGACTCAGTGACACTTTGCCATTTCAGAGAGCAAAGGAACTGGGACTGTGAAGAGCTGGGTTCTGTTCCCATCTTTGATAATGATTTCCTTTGTGACTTGGTGCCCTTTAGACAAATAGAGAGGGGTGTGTGGGTCATAACACAGAATACCAAAGGCTTCCCTCTCCCTCTGGCAGGGAGAAACTATACCAAAGTCTCCAGTCAGGGAGATTCAGATGAACAATAAATAGGGCCCTGACTAGGCTGCTTTCAGTCCCTTTACACCTCAATTCCTCTTGTTTTGTTCCCCGGGGGCTGGTGTCGTGGCTCAACTTCACACAGAAACATGGACCACCCAGTCCCCAAAATATAGTGATCCTGGGTTACATGGGTGTGGCCAAAGCAAACTGTTCTATAGGTATTCCAGGTTGCTAGATAGTGCCTTGGGGTCCACTGCAGTCCAGGTGTAAATTAAAGCAGACCCATAGGACAGAGCAACCTCTGGAAATTCCAGAGCTCCCCAGGTGCAATGGTGACAAAAAGCGATCGGCCCCTCTTCAAGACTCCTCCCACTCTTCTGAACTGCACATCCTGAAAGTGATAGGAAATACTTGACCCAAATTCAGAACTATCTTCAAATACTATCAGTAAATTAGTTGAGATTTTTAAGAGCTTTGAAAATATAAAGCATTATAAATGTAAGCAGAGTCTGAATAAGCTCTCCCCTGACCTCTAGTGGTGAGCTATGGAAAAGGACTTCAGGAGCTGATCTCATTTGCATTAACACACCCACCCTGGCTAGGTGCTCAGCATGATGGGATTGCTCGCCCAAATGACCACTTGTGGCTGGTGTTGGATCCCCAGTCTCCTTGTTATTGGGATAGGAATGATAAAGAGTTGTTATCCTTGTTGTGTGAACTGAGGGCAGCAGAACTGTATTTGGCATACCCCGATGAGGGACTCACCCTCAACTGAAAATAGCACTTGCAAGGCAGGTTCCAAAGCCCAATAAATTGAGATAGGGTGGGGATAGGATTTGTACCCGATGGTGCAGGCCCTGTTTAAGGGTCCTAGACCCCATTAGACCCTTCTCCTCTGCACTGTATAATAAAAGAGCTAATTTAGACTCAATTGAGAGTCCTGTTACATGCTACAAAGCTGAAATCACCAATACTTAAGTCTAAATATTAGACCTACTATTACAAGAGACTGCCTAGTGTGCACCAGCAATGAGGTTTCCCACTAACAGCTGAAATCACAGAGCTGAAATCACTGAGAGCTGTGTTAAGTGGGGTGCCCTGAAGACATCTTGGCAAGTGGCCAGGCGGGCAGCTGGTGGAGAGGTGCAGTCAGCAGGGTGGCTGGCAGAGAGGCACAGCCAGTGGCCAGCTGGAAGGGAGGTGCAAAGCCATCAGGACAGCTGGCGGGGAGGGCCAGATCACAGTGGCAATCGGCCGGCAGGGCAACACATATAAGGTGCCTCCTTGTCCCCCCTTCCACACGGGGTGGGAAGTGAACTGTGCAGATGAACCTCTGAACTCTGGGGCTGTACTGGCCAAGGACGGTAACTGTGAGTGGGGTGGGACGGGCACATTAAAAGGACTTTGGAGTTGCTGGACGTAAGACCCTGAGGGGAAAAGGACACTGCCCAACTTACTTGGGAATGGGTCTTTTGCTTACGGTTTATATTTATGAACCCTAGTTGTGGGGTTTTCCCAAATTAATGCTGAGTTACTTCCCTCCTTTTATTAAAAGTTTTTTGCTACATTCAGACTCTGTGCTTGTGAGAGGGGAAGTATTGCCTCTTAGAGGCACCCAGGGTGTGGTGTGTAATTGTCCCAGGTCCCTGGGGTTGGGGCTCAAACTGGTTTTGTGTTCTACTGTTGAAAAGGAACCCCTAGATACCGAAGCCGGCCCTTGTTGCTGCTGGCTCCACCTGGCAGAAGGGTTATATACGAAAATATTGTTCTCTGCCAATTCTGGAGCACTGAGGAGGAATCATCTTTGTGTAACAAACAATTGATTTCCTGCCATTCATTGCAGAATGGTGGGTTGGGCATTGATAGAACTTCATCCAGACAGATTATATAATCAGCCAAAAGCCATTTTAAGCCATTTTAAACTTAGATACAGTACATTTATCTACATGTGATTCCATTAGATGGAACCAATCCACATGATTTTAGGTTCTTAGAACAAACCCTTCTCTTGGAATGATATTTCTGAGAAATTTAAAGAGGTTAGGATGAAGTAATAAAGGATAAATGAGAAATCCTCCTTGAAGCCTCTGTGAAAGCCAAGGTGGGGAAAATTTGCTACTGTCCCTTCTAAAATGAAATTGGTGCGTCCTCATCAGTCACGCAGATACAACAGCTAGAAGCAGATATTGTATGCCAGTACAAATAATATATATTGCACAGCATAAAAGGCTGCAACATAAATTTGAAGATATATGGAACTCCTTCATATAGGTCGGTCAAACTTTTCCCTCAAGCAGATAATTACAGGCTTATGGTGAGTAAATCTTATTAGCCTCTCTCCACCTTATCTCTTCTCATGAGAAACTGCTGGTGGATATATCCTCCTTCAGTCCCTTTACTAAATTGCATGCTGGATATATCTTTACTCAGTCCTGCCCTGACTAGGAAAACACTGGCATATCATTCTACTGTATGACGACTGTGGTTTTACATCATCGTTAATTAGGTCATATGAGAGAACAGTCTGAACCATAATCCCAGATCTGTCCCATTCCAATCCTGCCAAGTCAATTAAAAGTGTAGTGGTTATGACCAAGCAATCTGACCTGCTAGTGTGGATCCTTCAGTTCATGCAGAGCCTCTCTGATAGCAGGGGGACCATGGCTATTTTAACATGAAGAGTCTTACTTTAAATGTTTTGAACTACTGATACAGTATTTATGTAAAGTTGCATGGGAATAGAAAATAAGCCTACTTACCATGCTGTCCTCTGTGAGGGAAGAAAGGGGAAGCATCTTTCATGACCCAAGTTAAATTCCAGGCAGAGAAATCAGGGGGGAGAAAAGGAATATTCATGGGAGATTCCAAAGTGCTCAGACCTTTAAATAAAAGAATAAATGCAAATAAATACAAAATAAACAACAGGCTGAAGGATCCTAAAGTGTTTTAGAGACTATATGTAATAAGTGCTGATATGCACAGGACATAAAGAATACCGTTTCAGTGGCTGAAAGGATATCTTTTACCCATTTATGTGCACAGGGAGAGTCAGGATAAATTGTTTGTTTTACATATGGAAAATGAGAATTGTTGCTCAGCAGAATTGTCAACACTACCCCTCTATATTTCCAAGCTTTGTTTTTACCTCAGAGTGCTTTAAGCTTTGTGTGTGCATGTGTATTTGGTACCTGGAATCTTGCACATAAAGCAGGTGAATTCATGTTCTATTGAGTTTTTGCTGCATAAATTAAAATGTTTGAAACAAGTCTTCAGGGATTTAGACTCTTAAAATGAACAAGAACAGGTTACGATGGTCAATTTTATCCATAGTACTCTGCAAGACCAGGATGACTCTACGCATGTGAGAAATGGTGCCTGAATTATAAGGCAAGCCTGACAGGTGCAACAGAATTCCAGGGGTATGGAAATGTGTCAATTCAAGGGATTCAGAGTTTCCCTGTCACAATTTTTATGTTTTCTGAAGATTGCAAGGACTTGATTTGATCTCACTCACACTGGTATAAATTGGGAGTAACAATGGCATAAGCAAGAGGAGAATCAAGTGCTAACCTTTCATATAAAGACACAGTGTGTGCTAACTTTAACTCTATTGATTGCAACAATAACCTTTAGGATATAAACTGGCTTCAACACAGTATTTTTTTGTCACTCATCCTGGAATTGTAGACAAAAGTTTAGTTTCCTTGATGGCTGAATTATATCTTGACCCTTTGCGAATTTATGGTAAAATAACTGAATACTATATATTATTGGGTGGAATTTAGCAACATAGATATTGCCAGAGTAGATCAGACCCGTGGACCATCAAGTCTAGTATCCCATATTTAACTGTAAATAAAGGAGTAATCTCCCTACATACAAACATAATACACAACTATGCAATGACTTAGCTCAGGATAAGGGGGCTTGTGTCTCTATCTAACCCCAGGTGGTTAGTGGTTGACTTATGCCCTTCATTGAGACTTTATCTTGGTGGTAATGTAATGAAATCCCTGAAATCTGACAACAGGCCTGTTTGTTGCCAGGGTCTGACTATTTCAACAATTTTACTGTCATTAGACTAGTATTGCTGAATTTAAGAGTATAATATATTGAACAAATTAAGTTCTTGAAGTGGCTGACTCCACTAAACAAACAGCCAAACAAATAAACGTAATAAGAGTGTGTCACTTGATCTGGGACTGGGTGATCAATAACTATACTCCCTGTCACATAATAGGGTAAGCAACCATCGATGCTAAAAAATGTGGAGAGATTTAGCATCCTACTTCCAAATCATCTGCTTCATAAGGACAAGATCTTTGAGGCCTCTTGATCTCTAAAAGCCTTAAATGAGTGCAATTTTTGTATACATGTTCATGATAGATAGAACAGTGGTTGTGAATCCCTCTGAATTCTCAAAAAGATCAGATGTTGATCTGAAATTTGTAGCAGGCCTCCATTTCTCTCTCTCTCTCTCATACACACACACACACACACACCACACACACACACACACCCCTCCCTCTTACAGTGAATATCATTCAGCTGCATTTCCTACCAGCAGAGTTAAGTCACTGTTAACATCCTGACCAAACTCATTTGGCATACTATACTTTACCAACCCAAAATCATAACACCCAAACATTCCCCCAGACTCCTCACCTTCACAACAACCTCCCTGTCAGTTATAACCCACCACTGCACATATCCCCTTCTTCAGATTCATGCCACTCTAACTCCAACCTCACCTCGATTGAAATATATCTTACTAATGCACTTACTTTTACTGTAAAAGTGTGTAATGAGTTTTTCCCTATCCAAATTCTGGAGTCAGAATTAAAATGGTCTCTGAGCAGGGCTAGATGACAGTACCAGGAGGCGTGAGCTGGATCGACATCGTGCATCGACTAAAAGGGACCGAGAGACTTTTTCCATTGGACCATATGAACTGGAACCATAAACTCACTGAATGTTAAATCTCACCAAATAAGGGTCAATCCATCCTCATCATCATATCCATTCCACACCTGAACATAGCTATTATATGAACAACATACAGACATTGAGATAGGAGGGTACTTTGACCCATTAACCTTTCACCCCCAATTGGGGATATTGCAGATATGTATTCCTTATGCCATCCAATCTTAAACTGAACTTCGCACCCCTTGATAATCTGTACGTTATTCCCAGATAACCAGAAACTTCTATGCTTAAACTCTGTACCATTCACATTTTTTTTAAACATCATCTTAATAAAATTTTTAAGCCTAAAGATACCTGAGCCCTTCTACACTAGCTCTTCTACTATTGCAAAACTGAAGAGAGTTATGCCAATGGTAGTACAATAATTCAGGATTTTATACAAAATTATATAGTGTAGACACAGCCTTGAGATTCAGTTCAACTCATCTTACCCTAATGATCTTTTTGTTTTCCTGTACCCTTTATAATCCTTTATACAACTTTATCTCAAAGTCTTTGCTTGGATTATAGGCCTTAGTACAAAGGCAAGAAGATTCTATCAGAAGTTATGAATCCTTCCCAATTAAGTCATCTTCAGAGAAAGATGATAGGTAAAAGGTTTTTGTATAGACAAGAGGCCATGCTCCTCAATGAGGAATTAATGATTTGATTTCAGGTAAGAGTCACAGGTCAGGAGAAAGAAAGGCCTTTCCTCTTCTACTTTATTGCATCTCCAAGGTATTTCATGTCCTGAAAGGTAATTACAATAAGACCTACAAATCAAATAAACAAATTTCTCATGCTTTTATGAGTCTCTCGAGAATAATCCACAAATAAATTATTTTGCTGTCATTTTAAAGAATAAAATGTTTTTGCTTCCTTAAGGGAGCAGAATCTGAGCCAAAATGATTTGAGGAATCTTCCTCTAACTCTTACAGAACATGCCAACTATCCTTTCTGGTTCATTGTGCCATGGTGCTTTACCACTTTTCTATAGCACCAACACTAAGCTTTTAAATAAATAAATGAATTAGCAACTGGAAGCTGACAGCACCATTTTTAGTAGCCAGAAGCTTGGCAGGATATAATCAACTATAGAGAGGAGGCACATTTCAATACAGAGGTTTAACATTCAAATTCTTCGTTTGCATCTTTGGCTATCTTTAACATGTCTGCCTAAAGGAGCTTTCAGGGCCAAATTCTGACTTTGGACACTTGAAGGGAATTTGAATTTCATTCAGCTAACTGAGAGTTTGGATTTAAAAGGGTTGTAGTTTACATTTGCTGAAGTCAGGACTTGATCATGTAAGTCTATATGCAAGGATATGTACATTATATTTTAAACATACATATATACAGGGAGCGAGACAGCTGTTCAAAATTATTCATTCAATGCTTTTTTTTTATTAAAAATGGCTTTTTAATATAAATTTTCTAATTTTCCAATTCAATAAAATGAAAAATTAAAATTGTTTTCCATTTTTGTTTTTCTTCCCCCTTTAACGCACAGACACTCTCCCCCCCCCCCACTTTTAGAAAGAAAGTGGGGGGACAAAACCAGTAAATACATTTTAAAAAATTGAGGGGAGTTGTCAAAGTTGGCAGGGGCGGATTTACCATGAAACGTACTGTGCCCTGGCATAGGACCCCCCCAATGACAGGGGGCCCCAGGGCCGGGCACTCAGGAAGCCTGCTCCATGGTGGGGGCTGGCTTTCAGCACCCCACTATTAAAAGTGTTCTTGCGCCATTGGCGTTAAACCTAATTGGGTGGTCCATGGCCCACCCAGGCCCACCTGTAGCTACGCCCCTGCTCTTTCAGACATTTTTAAATCTGCCTAAAATCAAGATCAGTTTTTTAAGCGATAATGAAGTGACACGATGAGTCTGGCAATCAAAAATGCAAAAAAAATGAAGGCGAGGCAAGATGACAAATCTAAGCAAAAAGACAGTTTGTCATCTTATTTTAAAAAGCTTGACGTATTGAATAGCGGATATTCATCAAAAAGTATGGGCAAGGAAACATCTGAATTGTCTGATCACTTGCCGAGTTGTGGGGATACCACGACGTCTGCAAAAGTTGAACAAGTGGACTCTGACGTGTCAATGAAACTACAAAATATTGGTAATTTTGTCGAAGTAAGGGAAGAAACCTACCCTGAAGACATTGCATTATGGCCAAAATCTGTTTAATTGGATAGGATAGAATTTTTCTTAGTAAATAAACCGAAAAACATAGGTAATATGGAAAATTTGAGAAAAGAGTATGAGGTTGGAGGACAAAAGCAATTTAGAGGTCTTCATGAGTCCCATTTTCTGAGGAAGAAGAAAAAGGAGACGACAGAAATGAGAAATTGGTTGATTTTTTTGGAAACCACCAAGGCAGTCTATTGTTATGTTTGCAAATTATTCCCTGACCATAGTAAAGGGAAACAAACATTTGTCAACAGGCACTCTAATTGGAGAAACATTGCAAGACATATTGCTGATCATGAAACTTCCAAAACTCATATTAATGCTACGTGTAAGTTTGTTCAAAGGTGTAAAGTATCTGGAAGAATTGATTCTGTGTTATCGGCTCAGTTTGAAAAGGAGTGTTCTTATTGGAGGAAAGTGCTGAGATCTGTTGTTGCCACGGTCAAACTGCTGTCTTCTTTGGGACTACCTCTAAGACGACATGATGAGTCATCACTGTCAAATCGAAAAGGTAATTTTTTTAACCTGCCTTGAATATCTTAGTGAATTTGACAATTTTCTCAATGAACATTTGAAAAATTATCAGAATTGTGGCTCAGGGAAGACCAACTTTTTAACGCATCAAACTTACAATGAATTCATCACCATAATGGCAGAGCAGCTCAGAAACCAATTCACTGATGAAGTAAAGGATGGCAAGTACTATTCCATAATAGT